CTTCCAAACATGCAAGGGTAAATTTAATTTATTTTTTTTTTCACATCTGTACATCTCAAGGTCGAGATAGTCAATTAGAGGGTTTTCAAGCATAAAAAAACCTTTTTCAATGGATTTTTGAGGCATGACATTTTCTACTCTATAAGGTTGCAACCTTATATATATTTTTTTTCATATTTATCGGTGAGAACCTAGAAAATGCTCTCAACAACTTAAAATTAATTTCCTTGCCATAAGTGGTTCAGGCTCTAGACACTCTTTAGGTACTTTCTAGACATCACTATACTTAAATTGTCTTTTATAATTTACACCATCTATGGTGAGTTTTATTTACATTTATGTGTTTGTGCGATCATCTATCAATTGCCTTGCCTTACATGGACAAGATTTACATAAGTTTCTTGGATGTCGTAGAGTCGTTTTTTTTTTTTTTTTTTTTTTTTAAAATTTCTTTCATATATTGAGACTCAAAAAATATTACCAAACCCATACCCAAATAGTGTTTGAGCCCAAAATTTGGATCTGGACAAAGACCCGACCTGCCGGGTCTAATTTTTGAACCCACACCCGACTCGGATCGGTTCTACCCCTCGGACCCTGGTCCGGGTCCATTGCCACATTTTGGGTAACCTTGAAAGGATGCCCTTCTCGTGGACCTTGTAAGAAAAATCAAGCCCATCAAATGTGGGGTACCCCATTAAAAGGTCCTGATCATTACTGTGTCAAGCATGTTGGTCTAAACGAATCTTGCTCATCTAAACTCAAATAGGTCCGGTTTACTATAGAAGTAAAAAAACTTGATCCTCCTGATAAATCACAACAAGATCTTTCATGCTCTGTATAACGAGAGTGCGGAGAAAGGAGTAATTTACACCCATGTCCTCTCAAAGTTCTATTATTTAAGAAATTTTTAAATTTTTATGTTATCCTCTCAAAGTTCAATCTTTATTTTTTTTAATCTTTAAATACAAGTATGCCGTCTATTTACTCGCTCGGGTAAAAAGCTATGTATGATTAATTTTAGGACCCCAAATGTTGGTGATATAACCTCTTCAACCCATGTACTGGCTAAATAAAAAGATTTCATGATTGCACCTTTGTGCACTTGAAGAAAATAATGTATCTAGATTGAATAAACACTGTCTAGGTTTTAGAGCGTGAGATCTAAGTGTTAGAAAACTCAAAATTCAATTTTTTTTTTCCTTTTAGAATATTCATCTAGTGATTCTTAGGTGGTTTCCAAAATTTTAGATTAAAAATATCTCCCATTAGGTATTTTGAATGAGGGAGCACATGTTTACTACCTAAAAAAAATTAAAAAAAATTTCTTTTTTTTTCCAAAATGATGATATTGCATCTACTTTGAGCCTTGAAGATCAAAGTTTAAGCTATTGTAATAAAATACTTTGGCCTCTTCTTAAGTGGTTAAAATGCTTAAAACTACTTTCAGACCTTGAAAATTTGACATTATTTAAACTTTAGTTTTATAAAAATCCAAAGTTTTCTACATCAAAGAAGCCCACAAGATCGCAGGAAAACAAAGAGAAAACTTCGAGCTTTCAAACTCTGAAGTTCTAAAACGTAGGATTGTAAGAATATGAAGTTTATTTGTACACAAGAAACTTGCGGTGTTCTAGAGGCCATGGATAACTTCCATAGAGAATTTTGGATTTTGAGAATCCAAAGTAAGAGCCGATGGGGAAAACAAAAGTTAAAAAAGCCAAAGAGTATTAACATGATATTCAAATTTTCAGTAGTTCTTCTGTTTTTTTTTTTTTTCCTTTTAGTAACAATAATCTAAAAGGATATGTGTAAAAATTACTCTAGATAAAAGTCACATAAGCATTTCAAGTATGGGTGCAGTTTGTATAGAGCCGAGGTTCTAAAACATCAAATTAGAGCCCTCCTTCAAATAGCGTTGAGAAATATGGTTTCAATATTGGAAATATTAGTATTAGCTTTAAATATGTTTTGATCTTTTATTATAAATTTAAAGTTTCAAAAATAGTGTAGATCAATTAGATCTATGAAAATATGAAAATCTTGAAAATTGACAGTCCAAAAATTGGTTACAATGTTTTGCAAAGCCAGGGAACAGGGTTGTCATTATACAATCATAATGTTCGTGAGGAATTTTCAAGTGGAATTGTGTAATTCTTTTATGGGAAAAGCTGAGGTTAGCCCACTAGCTAGCGCTAAAGTGTTAGCCATTCCAAATTGAATCTGGGCCGATTCAATAACCATGATTGTATTTTGTATTAGAATTTTAAGTTTTTTTCTACAAATCCAAATAGCTTGAAATTTTGAATGTCTATTTTCTAAAAATAGGAGAATTTAGTAAAAATAATAATTTGCAAGAAATAAATTGACCAAAACACCTCTGAAATTTTTCAAGGGCATTTTGATTTACGTATATTTTACACATTATATTTAATATTTTTATTAGATACACTTTCATAATAACAATTGACGCTTAAAATTTCATATGATTTAGATATGTAGAAAAAATATTAAAATTGTATTACGAAATGAGGTCGTGACCGTCAGCCCAAATTATTGGAATAACACTGTAGTTGTATTCTTCTTTTATTATTTGATTGAGCTAATCAAATGTCTTTGTATTTTTGTGTTTGTAAACTGGTGTAACCCAAAGTTTTGTGCATATGGATGGGCAATTATTCACTTTTTCTAATGTAAACTACTATTCCATGTTGCTTACACTAAATAACTAGGACTATCTTCTTTATTGGGCTTTGCCTACTTAAAGTTAGGCTAAATCATCAAAATATATCCTCTTGTTCAAGATTCCTGATCTTCAAATAAGGGCAATTGAGTCGTATTTACCTTATCTATTTAGGAAGTACTTGATTGAAATTAAATTAATGAAGGGCACGTTATGTAGGTTTTTGGGCTGGACCTGGTTTCATCCAGGTTCGTGTGACTTGATATGGCCAGCAAGCCAACTTGAGCTAGGTCATGTAGGCGTGAAATGGTTTCGAGCTAGGACCGGCCTGTCTCCATGGCTTGGCGCAGCCTCACCCAATTTTTTGGGCCTGTCCGGGCTTGGGGCAAAATGCCATAAATTCAGGTCGGACCCGAATTTAGATTTAGGCCTTGGTTTACCCTACTATCTTTCAGGCCGAGGGCTGGTCCAGCCCAATGGCAGCCCTAAGGCCAATTTGTATCGAACTAGGCGTGGATAGATATCCAAAACGACCATAAACTCAGTGGCAATTATCTCCGCTAAAATTTATTTATCACATTCTTGTGAATAATGACTCCAATAATATCTTAGTAAAATAAATTTATTGTGGTATTTAACAGCTTCACATCATTATCGAAATAAAACGTTTCTCGGGTAATATAAAAGCAAAATTAGTCATTTGAATTTACATAGTAGCTCTGAAAATTGCAATAAAACAAACAAGAAACAACGCGCAAGGCATTCATAATCCACACCGAAGTTGATGAAACTGAATAATACTTTTTATATTTAAATTTAAGGGATTGTATACAATGCAACCATTTACCTTTGGAATAAGGAGGTAATAATTACTTACAACTATCCGATGTGAAATTTGATAGCTCGGGTGTGTTACAAATTTCGAGAAAATTCTTTTGAACTTTGAGCTTGGTCAATGAAATAAATGCAGCCACTCAATTTCACATCCAATGGTCAAGATTTATTGTGACCACCTTGTACCAAAGTTAAATAGTCTCATCATATACTTTCCCTAAATTTAATATACATTATAATTGTTTTCAACTTTGCCATTTGTAAAATTCTTAACATATTTGTGTTTCTTATTTGTATAAATTGAATATGATAAAAATAAAAATTTATGGATCCGGTTAGCATGCGTCCAAGCTCGTACATGTAGAAATGTGGGCTTGGCAATAAATATATTTTTTAAATATAATTTTATCCTAACTTTTAGAGAATATATAATCTTTAACATGGAGATCATGAATATGAAAAAAATGAAAATAATAATTATATTAAGAAAATATTTAGACGGTTAGTTCAATTGTTTTTAGATGGACCGCCTATTTGCATCCTTCTTTAAGATGGATGCTTTATACCTCTGGACCGCATATTGTAAAAATGTAGTCCAGCCCGCATGAAACAATTATTCAAAATTGATTCCATAATAAATAATATATTATTTTAATATACCATCGTGAAATTGATTATTTAAAAACAATAATATCTCAATAAAACTCCATAACGATCGTTAAGGATAAAATGGAGTTGCATACAATGAGAACATTTACTTTTTATACAAGGTCACAATCATTATTGACTGTTGGATATGAAATCAGGCGGTTGAATGTGTATCATACATTGGACACAAAATCTAAAATAGACCTTCTATTTTACCCTAAAAATAATTGTTCATTTATTATTAAGATTTGTACATCCTTTGAGTTTCAAATTTTAAAGTCGGTATTGGAAATTGAGTTTAAATCCATTAGAGAGATTTCCACTGCTTTCCATACGAGGATTTGATGTAAGGCTTCATTTTGTTTTCATAAAGGCTGGGCCTTATAAAAACTTCATCTTATTTTTATTTCCCCAACTCTCCCTCCCCCCTCTCTCTCTAAATGGAGACAGGGGAGGGATGTTGGTTTAAAATAGTTAATTCAGTCAATAAAATGGAAGTCACTCAAAATATTTCAATTATTCAGAGTCCCTTATTATAGAACAAATTTCCTAACGGACAAATTATTTAATCAGGATTAAATGAACCAAATTTAAAAAAAGACGTTACTTATGTTAACAAATCCTCTTCCCCTAAATTTAGGAATGAGAGCCTCACCCTTTCAGCGTGCTTCGAGACCCATTTAAATAGTTCACACCTTACAACAAGGGTGACTTCAAAATACAAAAATTACCATATTACCCTTATTCACACATGTGTGCTTCCACATGTGTCTAATCCTTTGTCATCTATATAATCACATATGAATGCATGCATTTTGTGTGCACAGTGCTTAGAGTCATGGATGGGTGGAAGGGGCTCCATGGCATGTGTTTCATGGCTATGTCGATGATGGTTGTGGCATCATGTATGGGTGATGGCACTCATGGCATGTCCCCATGTGGGGTGGATGAATGGAGCATGGTGAAGCGAGAGGGTCATCTGTTCAGTCTGAATGGTTCTCCATTCTATGTGAATGGGTTTAATGCATATTATTTCATGTTGTTGGGTACAGATGCCTCTACTGCACCCTTGGTTGGAAAGGTGCTGGATGAGGCAGCAAGAGCTGGGCTCAGTGTGGGGAGAACAATGGCTTTCAATGATGGAAATGGATCTGATGCTCTTCAAACCTCTCCTGGTGTGTATAATGAGAATGCCTTCGAGGTAAGAGAAAAAACAAATTAACATATCATTAGTAATAGTCTTAAATATAGTCCAGTGCATCTTGACATTAATCAGTAATAAAATTGATTTTTTTGATCTGTTTTTCTAATGAAAGAGAAAATGCCTATTATAAATATACATATAGACCTTGTATTCTAAGTTTATTTTATTCGAATAATCATATTCAGAATTTTGGTTATTGTTTTGAATGATAATACTCGGAAGTTTTGGTTTTCTTTTTTTTTTGCTAGGCATTGGACAGGGCAATCGATGAGGCAAGAAAGAGGAAAATTAGGTTGATTTTAAACCTGGTTAATAATTGGAATGATTATGGAGGAAAACAGCAGTATGTTGAGTGGGGAAGGGAAGCAGGAATTCAAAATCTGATCTCTAATGACTCATTCTTCAGTCATCCCACTATCAAGAATTACTACAAGAATCACGTCAAGGAAAGAACTTGTTCTGCCCGTCCTTCAGGATTTTCACCATAGAAAAATTATACTGCAACGTTATTTACATTTGGTGTAAGAAGGTCATTTTCATGTATAGTTGTAAGATGTAAAATCTGATGGTTTAGGGTTGTGTCATAAAGTTCAAAATGATATTTTTAAGATTTTGAGCTGGCCCAAGGCACACTATCAGCCGCTAGATTTTGCATCTAACTGCTCAAAGTGATTATGATCTCTTATACAAAAGGTGAACGATCTCTAAAGGAAACGTCCTATATGTCAATAAGCAAAGGGAATTCATATATCACACTTCTCTCGGCCATCCAATCTAAATGGATCGCTGAGATGACCTTAATTATAATGTCGCGCTTAAATATTATTTCATTATTATGTCTATAAAACATATTGAAACCAAATTTTGGGTGTCCCACCCTCTCTCAGGGTCGCCCCCAAGAATAATATAAAAAATATTTCTGATAAAATAAATGAGCAAAATACTCATGATAGTTTCAAGGATGCTTTGGACATTAAATTTTCTTAGAAATATTTTTTGATATTTTTAAGGTGTGCCATTGAGATGATGACAAACACTAAATTTCGTGTTCATATGGTTTGTTAAAAAAAAAAACATTAAAGATAAAATACTCTGAAACATTAGATCTACAAACAACCAGAAGCTCACTTGTGACATTAGGGTTGAAGCTTATCCCAGCAAAACCATTCAAATCGTATGGCTACGAGAGAGTGGAATATATGAATTCCAATTCTAATCTTAACCTCCTCTAAGTACTATACTTTCTCTCTCTCCCAATATTTCCTTCTTCGCATTGTATTTCAGGCCATTTTAACAAGGTTCAATACTTATAGCAAAGTCATGTACAAGGACGACCCAACCATATTCGCTTGGGAGCTCATCAACGAAGCTCAATGCCCTTCTGACCCCTCAGGAAACACTTTGCAGGTTAAAAAAGACACCCTTCTAATACCATTCTCCCTTTCATTATTTTTCAATGCGATTTGATTTTTAAACATGTTGACTTATGGATGAATAAGTGAAATATTGATCATAACATCTTTTCAGTTAATTGGGATCGGCTTCACAAATCTCGATCCTTGATGGAATATATATATATATATATATATGAGAAAATATGAGATTAGCCCATTAGTTCATATGAATATATGAGCCCAACGTCTTATATTGAAACTGAGCCGATCTGATGATCACGGATATCCGTTAGTGTTTAAATTTTTTTTTTTTTTATAGATCCAAATTACTTGAAATTTTAGATGTTATTCTTCTCATCAAGGTACACCTAGTAAAAATATAAAAATAATTATTCGTGAAGAAAAAAATGACCAAAATACCCCCAAACTTTTTGGGGATATTTTGGTCAATTTATTCATGAAAAATATTTTTTTGATATTTTTTTGAAGATTCACTTATACCTAAAGTTTCAAGTGATTTGAATTTGTAGAAAAAAAACTAAAATTCAAACACTACCAAACATATGTGATCATCAGATCGGTCCAGAATCAATCTGGAACGTTGGCCTCATATGTTCATATGAGCTAGTGCGCTAATCCCATCTTTTCCCATTGTGTGTGTGTAAGTGAAATATTGATAGAATATGTCAATATTATTCAGGCCTGGGTTGAAGAGATGGCAGCATATGTGAAATCAATAGATCCCATCCATCTATTGGGGGTAGGAACTGAGGGCTTTTATGGACCGTCCAACCCTGATAGAAGTGTGTTCAACCCCAACCAGTTTTCTACCGAATTGGGCACCGATTTCATAAGAAACAATGCGGCAGTGGGGATTGACTTTGCTACGGTGCACACTTATCCGGATTCATGGTAACCGCATCTCCCTTCCCTACTCTCTATTTAAAAGATATTTGGAAAATATTTTTTATGGTTTAAAAAAAATTAACCTTAACTGAAAAATAGTCAAGTATACAAGAAAACTACTCATTATTAGTTCAAGAAGGTCATAATCACTTTGGACAACTAGATGTGAAACTCGACAGGTGAGGGGATATCTTATCGACCAAGCTAAAAGTCCAAAAGCAATTCTTTCAAATTTTGTGGCGCACTCCAAACCATCCAATTTTACATCAAATAACAAGAGATTAGTATGTAATTAATGTACCAAAAAGTAAATAACCTATAACATACAATCCCATAAGCTAGATGGCAAGGCAATGCATGATACCATTTATTTGCTCTCAAATCATGACCATTTGTTTCTCAGCAACCCATCTGTAGGTTGCTTGGTGACGGAGGGAAAGGATCCCATTATAAAAAAGTCATCGCATTCATAAGCCATGCTCAATTTCCATCGAAAAAATATCCAAAGAGACGATTTACCTATTGTATAAGAAAGTCATAATCACTCTTGTCCGTTGGATTTCAAATCGGTTGTTTGGCAGTATGTCATTGACTAAGTTAAAAGTTAAAGTAACATTTCTCAAACTTTGTTACACATCCCAAGCTATCGAATTTGAAATTAGATGGCTAGAGGTATTTATGACCTACTTGTCATTAAGGTAAATGGTCTCATAGTATACAATCTCTTTTCCTTCACAATCAAACCAACTACAATGACGGTACACATTATTGTTTTCTTTCAATAACCATAGGACACGGTTTCTATGCGGCCAGCCAGGCCGCATATTGTAGAAATGCGGGCTTGGCAATAAATATATTTTTAAATATAATTTGTTCTTAATTTTAAAACAATATATAATCTTTAACATGGAGATCATGAATATGAAATAAATAAATAAATTTTGAAAACTAAATATAGTATTTATATAAAAAAAAACATTTGAACCGTTAGTTACAACTGTTTTTAGATGGACTACCTATTTGCATCCATCTTAAAGATGGATGCTTTATACCTTTGGACTGCATATTGTAGAAATGTGGTCCAGCCCAAATGAAACAATTTTCCATAACCATATGTTAAGAGATATTTTATAGTTTTATGCCCTTTGGTGAGCAATTCCCTAGAAGATGTTAATGCAGTTATGCATTCTTGCCAATGATCGAATTTCAACTTTTAGTAGTTGTTTGAATATTCTACATTTTTGCATCAGTTCTTGAGTTCCCTGGAAAATTGTCACTTTTGCATTTAGGGTGAAAATGGATATTGTCTATTTTTTTTTTTACATGCAAAACAACAATATTTAACTATTTATTATATATATATATATATATAAATAAGGTTAACCATTAGAAAAGGCTATTTTGAAATTGAAGAACCATCCAATTGATGATTTCAACACCACAATATATAGATATGAAAAGAAGAAAAGAAAAGATTTCAAGTCCCAAAAATGATACATCTGGCAACACATTATCTGGACCGTCCATTTTCAAAATTTACATGAATTTATTGATATGCTTAATTTGAACAATTTTTAGAGTTAAAAATTTTATAATTAGATATGAAAATAGATTCTCAGGCTATCCTAAAAATTTTGGACGCAAAAATTACATCTAATGTCAAAGTTTTATGAGAAAGTTTGGAAGTACAGTTTGAGGTTGCAACCTTACATAACCTCACCTGTATTTATTATGTGCTTGCGCAATTCAAAGAGCGTAATCCCAAACAGGTCACCAAACCGCGTTCATGAAATCACCTAAAAAAATGCCAAAAGGTACATGCTGATGCATTTTACATGGGAATCCACATAGGCCCTTAATCCTAAAAACTGGTTTCTATAAAGGTAACCTAAAATTCAACTAAAAGTGCACATGTAGAACCAAACATATAAAAATATAAGCACATATATACACTCACATATCATTAAATAGGTAGTGACTCCTAATTCTTGGTATGCTTTCTTGATACATCCATTCGAAATTATGCACACCAAAATTGAAAAGGATAATATTGTTAGGACAAGTATACAATAAGGCCATTTACCTTTAGTAGAAGGTGATCACAATTAATTTTGACCATTAGATACAAAATTGGGTGGTTGCATTTACTCTGTTGATCAAGTTCAAAGTTGAAAATAAATATGTTTGAACTTTGTGACACATACAAGTTATCAGATTTCGCATTAGATGGTCACAAATAATTAAAATGACTTCTTTGTACTAAAGATAAATGATCACATTGTATACAACCTTATATCACTAAAAGAGTCAAAATATCTTACAAAATCGCTAAAGAGCTCAAAAGAGCCAAGTTGCTATTGCAGGGTTTGCTTTTCAAGTTTCATTTCATAAAGGCACCTCTTTAAAACGTTTGTTAAATTTTTTGTCAAAAAAAACCTTGAATAATCAATGACATTTTGATAATTCGGCCTCATCTAGCTAAATTACAATCATACCCTAGATGTTAATGGAAAAATGAAAAGAATCATCCAATGAAAATAGTAAATTCCATGTTGCTAATCCTAAACAACTAGTGCATTTTTATTATGCCACAGTTTTGTATGCCAAACCTGAACAACCATGGGTATTATTGCAATTTGGATAGGGCTACTTAAGTGGATCCAAATTATTAAAATGCCCCTTGTTGTTCGACATTAACCTTGGTACTTTGGGATCTTTTTTAACCACACTTTTGAGAATACCCTTAAGTGAAAGTTAAAAAGTAAATCGTACATTGATAAATAGCATATCTTGAGTCCTTTAATTATTCTGTTAGATAATTTGAGCTCTTTAATAAGAGTTTCTCTAAAAGATATTCTTGCCTAAAAAGCAAGCATTTGTGAGATTTTGGAATGAAAAAAAATACCAGGTAAATTGGGTTCCGAATTCATTTACTAAGAAATATCAAACTGCACAGAAGGAACTTATTATTTAAGTCCTGCTACCCATTTGTCAATTTCACTCTTGTTTGGGACTCATTAGAAGCTGCATAGGTTAGGGAATGTAGAGGATTAGTGGCAATGATCAACTGCACAGTTTCATTGTTTTTCTTAAAAAAAAAAAACTTCCCCATCCAAACAAAGCCTTATGTTTTTCGCTGAAGAATTAAATTTCATCAAGATTGAAAAAATATAAAGTTTCATTACTAATAATGCTTGAAACTTGAAATTACAGGATTTCCCAGACTGACACCCCTGACTACTTGCCATTTGTGAAGAACTGGACCAATATCCACATCGAGGATTCTTTGACACAACTCAACATGCCGGTGCTCATTGAGGAGTTTGGGATCAATAGCCATGACTTGGGATACAACCAAACCTGGCGCCAAATGATAATGGAAGTTGTTTATGAGGCAATATTGGACTCAGCGAAGAACCAAGGGAGTGGAGCAGGAGGCCTGTTTTGGCAGCAACTTACTGATGAGATGGAGAATTTTGCAGATGGATATGAGATCATATTGAACCAAGCTAGTGATCCTGTTAATGCATTGATTTACAATCAATCAAGAGCCATTAATGCAGTCCATAGGGCAAGATGCATTTAGCCGTCTAGAGTTTACATTGGCTTTCTCCTATGATTAATAAACCATTTGCGACATTCAGTAACTGGACTCCTTTTCCCTTAGCGGCTTGGCTTTTTTATTATATTGTGAGCTTCACACTCTCAAACATGCAAATGTGTGTAGGAACGTGAGTTACTGATATTTGCTTTGGAAGAACAACCACAAAGAAACTGAAAGACACTAGAAACTAAAGGATTAAAAGGTTAGCACACTGCAAGCGCATGAATTTTGCATACTAAATGTGTAGTAGACAAAACTTGAATAAAGCCAATGTTTGTCTTCCAACTAGTCCCTTAGGCTTCAGTTTAGTGTTATACATGTTGGTTTGGGTGGAGGCAGTTAAAGGTTCAAACCCGTGATTAAAGAAATGTCAGGTCGGCACGGATTCACCCGGTCTGACCTGGGAATCAGTCACCCCGTGCCAATTCTGTCAATATAAGGTCGGGTATATTCAGAAAATGTCTAGTCCCCGTATGATATAAAAGGTCGGGTGTATTTGTCTAGCTCGTATGACATAAAGGGTTCCATCGCTGCAGGACGTTAAACTGCTTAGAGGGCTCTATGGTTGCAAGAATTAAAACTGCTAACTAAAAATTTGTTTTTCAAAATATTTTTCTATTTTCGAAATGATTCACTATATGTCTTGTGTTTTCAAAAACCCTAATTTCTTTGTTAAAATTGTAAGTTGTTCAAAACTTCCAGTTCTATTTCAAAACTCTCCCTATTTTCAAAATTTCTAAAACATTTTTTTAAAAAACAAATGCGCTTGGACATCCATATATGATGATTACCGTGTTGCCGCTTCATCTCTCTCTTCAGAATTGACTAGGCAAACATTTTCCTAAACAAATAAAACCTATAGAAGACCTTAGGAAACCTTAAAGGAATCAAAGAAAATGTCAAGTTCAAGAATTTAAAAGTGAAAACCTCTGAAATTAAGTGGCATGGGAAGAAAATCGGACTCGAGATCCAAGCTTGCATAACTCACCGGAACATATCACACCAAAAACCCTAGGATGAAAATGCCCTAGGTGGGTGAGTGGGGAGAGCAATGTCTTGGAGGGAAAGTTGGCATGTCCTTTGACCATGTGACATCAGATAAATTTAAAATGTCAGCAGAATCTACTTCTTTAACACTCATATGTCCCTCGAAGGATAGGGAGCGCCAAAGAGGGGCAACTGTAGATACTCTATTTTGAAAAACTGGCAAATTCAATGGTTTTTCTAAACCCTAGACAACCTTAAGATCACACTGTCCCAGTAAACCCCCATACAATAGACCACCATAGTTGATACCGCCTGCCTTGTGATCCAAAATCCTGCATATCACCTTGTTTTAGTTAAAAAAAAAACATTAAAAATAGCAAAACACCTCGTTTTGACCTAAATTTTGGCAAACAATATCACAAGAGCCTATAGATCCCCCAGAACTGGAATATGTTGATTATGTGCAAATTTGGTCTTTGGGGTCACCCAACCCAAACTTACCCAAATCAGGTGCTTTTTGGTAGGCAACATCACAACAACCCCAAAATCAGCCTAGACAAGAATCTGCCCATTATGGATAGATTTAGTTTGGGTGACACCACTGGTGTCGCCCAGTCTAGACTGACCCAAATCGGCTAAGTTTTGGTAGGCAGCATCCCAATAGCCCCAAAATAAGCCCAAACAAGAATTTGTCAAATTTAGGCAGATTTGGTTTGGTTGCCTAGCCCAAACTTCGACCCAAATCAGCTGATTTTTTGCATGTAGCATCCCAAGGGCCAAACAATCACCCTAGAATTGGAATCTGCCACTTCCTAAGAAGATTTGGTCTGGGCGACAGCACTGGTGTTGCCCATCCCAAACTGGTCTGAAATGGCAGTTTGAGTTGTCAAATCGGTTGATTCTTGGATATGTCCATTTTGATATGATTTGAGCCTTTAACAATGTCATTTTCGGGATCATTTTCAGGGTTAGACCTTATTTGCTTGGGTACATAGAGAAAGCTTTGAGAATGTTAGACTTGAGCAAAACTTAGATCTAAAAAAACATTAGCTTTAGGCCATTTGCAGCCCTTAGATTAGGAAATCTATCGAACCAAGTCAAGGCTTGGTCAAAATGTGAAGAGAAACAAAGAGGACGCATGACATAAACTCAACAGGTCCTAATACGGGCGAGGCCACGAATCTTCGGGAGCCCTATGCCAACTGGCCCGGTCTGGTACATTTTTACTCTTTCCTGTAGTTCTTTTCACTTTTGTTTATTTTATTAGAATTAAATTATTTTTATTTCATTTTACGTAGTATTTCGTATTTTGGATCGATGCTGGCTTCGCCACTGATTTGAGAGCAGATCTACTCATTTATGAGTAGATATAACCTCATATCAGAATTTGATTGTCTCCACTCTCTATCACACTTCTAAAAAATCAATTTATAGTACAGATCTGAGGGATCTTCCTCTAAAGATCTCTCTGTTTTGCATCGTAAACAACAATCCCCACTTAATTTTAGGATGCCAAATGTTGGTGATATAATATCTTCAACCCATGTATTAGGCTCAATAAAAAGATTTCCTGATTGCACCTTTGAATAGAGACCGTTTTATTTTTAGAAGGTGAAATCTAAGTGTTTAAAAACTCAAAATTCATTTTTTTTTTCTTTTGAAAATATTCACCTAGTGGTTCTTAGGTGGTTCCCAAAATTTTAAATTGAAAAGAAATCTTCCTAGGAGGTATTTTGATTGGGGAAAAGTTTCTATACTTCCCCTACAGCATAGAAGATCTATGTTTCCCCTACCATCCAGCGATCCAACTTTGATCAAGAGAGCCACTCACCGTTTGATCTTAGACCGACGTCTCAAAGTATTTTATTTTTTATTTTTTATACAAATTTTATGATTCTGAAATTTGGTATGTGCCATATTCTCTTTGGGGCTCACGTATAAAAAATATTAAAAATAATTTTTGATAAAATATAATGATCAAAATATCCCTTGAAATTTATAGGGGCATTTTGGTTATATTATTTTATTGAAAATATTTGTATTATATTTTTCGCTAGTGCAAGTTCAATAGAGAATTGGACGTACAAAATTTCGTGTTAAAATATTTTGTAGAAAAAATATTAAAAATAAAATAGTGTAGAGACATGATATTGTGATTGGGGCAATCTTTGTCCTCCATTCAGAATGGACGGTCGGATAAGGGGAAGTATATAAGTTTCATGTCGTATGGGAAGCAGAGAAAGCTTGCCTTTTTTACCAAGGGAGTATATGTATGTGATACTCCTGCCATAGCACAATATACGTACTCCCAATTTTTTTCTCTTTTTTTTTTTGTCAAAACGATAATATTGCTCCTACTTTGGGCTTTGAAGATCCAAAATGTAATGTGTTATAATCAAATACTTGGACCTCTTCTTAGGTGGTTAAAAGTTTTAAAAATAGTTAAGATCTTGAAAATCTGACATTATTTAAACGTTGGTTTCGTAAAAATCCAAAGTTTTCCCTACATCAAACAAGCCCATAGGATCGCCAGAGGCTAGAGAAAAAGTTCAAGATTTCATAATCTAAAGTTCTAAAACTTAGGATTATAAGAATCTGAAGTGTTATCTACATAGTAGAAGCATGCAGTATGCTAGAGGCTATAGTTAACTTCCATAAAGAATTTTGGATTTTGAGAATTCGAAGTAAAAGCTATTTTGGGGGAGAAAAAAAAAAATTAAAAAAACTATGAGTATTAACATGATATTCAAATTTCCAGGGTTCTTTTTTTTTTAAAAAAAATAGTAATCTCAAACGACTGGTGCGAAAATTACATGAGCATTTCAAGTATTCATTCCTTAAGTAAAATTGAGCAACTTTAGGACTAGAAATTCTTGAAATATCACCTCGTCACCGAGTGGAGTTTAAGAAGCGAATGGGTCTCGATATGAACTCTCCGCGAGGGCCTAGAAAATACGCAAAATAGTATTAAAGACCTTTAATTATTTTAGAAAATCATTAAACGGAACAAAAGATTGTACAATTCACTTTTTAACTTACGTTTCATAGAGGTACCTCTAAAAGAAATTGTATACAAGTTTCCGAGCTACCCCTATTTAAGGTTGAAACATTTAAAAATGGGTGCGGTTTGTATGGAGCCTAGGCTCTGAACAGTCAAATTAGAGTCTACCTTCAAATAATTTCGAAAAATGTGGTTTCAACACTGAAAATCTCTGTGATAGCCTTAAAATGTATTTTCATTTTTTTTTATAAAGTTCAAAGCTTCAAAAATAGTGTAGATCGAGATTTATGAGAACTTGAAAATTGATAGTCCAAAAATGCGTTACAAAATGCACTATTTTCAAAACTTGAAATCCATTTTTCTCTCGTACCCATGCACCTTGATGTCAAGATGATTAATTTGAGGATATTTGGACATTAAAACAACTTCTTCTAGTGAAAATTTTGATATAGGCTCTTATTTGATTGTTTAGAACCTCGGCTCGATATAAACTTTTCCCTTTAAAAATTAGCGGCATTTTTGTAATTTGACTTTACTTAACTGGCCAAGTGGACGATTTTTAATTAAAAAAGTGAGCTTCATATTGCTAGCCATCAACACCGAGTATTTTCATTGTTTAGTAGGTTCAGGTTACTAACCTTGAACAACTAGGGTTATTAGTATATGGCTCGTCATTAAAATGGAGTTAAATTAACAAAATACTCTTGGGTTTTTAGGGTTCCCAACATTTGTGAATTTTTCAATACATTTTTTGAGGAGATACTTTTATGATATGAAAGTTAACGAATAAATCTTGGCAGTGTAAATGTTATCCTTTCAGCCCTTCAATAATTTTATAAAAATTTGAGCTCTTTAACTATAGTTTTGAAAATAATAATATATTTTATAAAATATTTTGGGATTGTATCCAATGGGTTCATTTATCTTTAATATAGGAAGGTCACAGTTACTTACAACCATCTAATGTGAAATCTGGTAGTTTGGGTACATCACAGAGTTCGAAACAATTTTTTTTGAACTTTGAGCTTGGTCAATAAAATAAATGGAGCCACCCA